CTCTCTCTTACACATTTTCTCCACGGGGTCAATGTTTTGATTGAGAGGTGCAGACACGGATCTCCAAAGGCTGACCTTCACTCTTGGATCATCTCTTGGTAGTCAAATACACCACCCCCCTGCACTCCCTGCTGCTGAGATGGCAATGGCCCTGTGAACAATTATTCACAGCTGCATCAGTTCCAGCAGGAAAACAAAGGTTGGTTGGTGGGAGCAATGAAGGCTATGGGTTATGGCTGTGTGTTAGTCTGAATTGACCAGAGAAACAAATCTAGGGAGACTCGTGTGTCAGAGCTTTATATAAAAGAGTAATAGAATATTTAAAAAAAAACAGCCCAGTCCAGATCAAGTCCATAAGTCCAATATTAGCCTATATGCCTGATACCAGTCTATAAATTCTTCAGACACACACCACATGCAATGATGCCGAGTGCAGGAAGATCACAGGCCAGTGGGTGGAAAGTCTTGTAGATCCAGTGGGGGTGGAAGGATCTCAGCACTGGCGTGGGTCTTCATGTGGCTTCTCCAGCTCCAGGACTCTGGCTCTCTCAGCATAGCTCCATGTGGCTTAACAACAGGAATGCCTTGCAGGGAGAGTGGAGTTCCCAGAATTCTCAGGAGAAATCCATGCCCACACAGAGGCCTCAAAGGCTATGGCCTGATTGATGGGTTACACTCCACCCCCTTTGCAAGATGACAGGAGGTGATGTAACTGCCTGAGACTGGGAGAGCCATATTAAGTCATCCACTTCATTGCCACGGGCCAATTCCCACCCATCATGACCGTATAGGACAGAGTAGAACTGTTCGTCTGTGTTTCCGAGATAATAAATCTTTATAGGAGCAAGCAGCCTCATCTTTCTCCCACAGAGCTGCTTCGGGGTTTGAACACCCCACCTTGCAGTTAGCAGCGTGACACTTAATCTGCACCACCAGGTCTCCTTCAGAAAAGGGTCAGGGAGATGGAAACATTTTCTTCGGACGTGTACTAGATCGAGGTATGAGTGGGTCAGGGAAGAATGGCTTCACCATTCAGATACTTTTGTTTAATAAAGGTGGGCGTGATATTTTGTAGCAATACTTTTTGACTGGCCTTCATACCACGAGAAAAAGAGAGAGCATGCGCAACCCAGGACTGATGGCCCAGGGGCTCACCTTGGTGCTCTGAGCTCTCATAGAACTTGGTGTCCAGATCTGGTTGAGCATGGTGGCAAGCCCATCCCAACTGGGGGCTTATGGATGGGACAGTGCAGGGGTGAGGCCAGGGCGCCACATCTCTCCTGCTCTCCCAGAGTCGGTGCCATCCTTGCCTTTCTGCAGGGGCAGCAGCTCCACACTCAACCCTCTCTCAGCCCTGGCATCTGGAATGGCACTGGCGCATGCAGCGGGGTAAAGGAGACAGCCGGAGGAGGTGGACAGCCAGTGGCCACCTCAGCTCTTGACTGCCAGTCGCCCTCCCCTGGCTGGGCTG